GGGGGGGGGGGGGGGGGGGGGGGGGGGGGGGGGGGGGGAGGAAAAATGTTATCCGAGGGACCGTCTTTTGCTGGTCACATCTACCCAATCAAAACGGGGATGCAGGGAATGCTGTGGGTCCCATCCCTGAGGGAGATACACCTGGTGGGATTCGGAAGAAGGGCCTTCTCTGTGGTGGCTCCCCCTCTCTGGAACATTATTCCCCCAGAGATTAGAATGGCCCCCTCTCTAATACTATTCCGGAAGGCGCTGAAGACCTGGTTCTGTCAGTGAACCTGGGCAACCCAGAGCGGGATGAAGCCCATTGAAGTGTTTGTATGAATGTGTGTTGTCACGGGGACGGGGTAGATGGGGGAGTTATTATTTTACTAATTTTATTATTTTTCTTTTATATTCTTTTTATTTCTTTTATATGGTTTTTATATCCACGTAAGCCACCTTGAGTCACCATGTGTGAGCAGGTGGCAATGTAAATCTTCAAATAAATAAATAAATAAGGAAGGAAGGAAGGAAGGTCCAACATTTCACTTGCTCTGTGAAATTCACTGGTGAATAAAAGAAAAAAGGTCATGGGAAAAGAAATCCCTAAAGCTAATTCAGGAAATGCACCTGAAAGAGTTATGGTGAGTTAGAGAGGCTTTCATCACTGCCTCTCAGCCTCTGTACTGGGTTGCCTTTCTTGAGATGAATATTCAATGTATTTGCCCCTTCCCTCCCCCACTTCACATAATCTCTAACAGGCTTTCATCTTCCTACAGTGCTTGATATATATAAAAAAAACCCTCACCTACGGTTACCGTAATATTTACTTCCCACTTGAAATCTGCAAAGGATTTCTCTATGGCACACCAATAAATGCCAGCATCTTCCATGGTGATATTCTCCATTTTCACTGTGAATTCAAGTTGCGTCTGATTGTCTTTGATAACAGTTCTGCCAACTCTCTTTTCTTCCTCAGTACTGTCAGTCTTAATGACCTCTTCACAGTATTTCCAATCAGAGCCTTTGCACCAGTACTTTACGAAGTTAGAATAATATTTTTCATATCGACACTTTACACACAGCGTCTCGCCAAGCGAAGCCTTCAACATCGAAGGGCCTTCAACCGCAGACGTCAAACCTGCAAAAGAGGAACATCCAACCTCAGGCAAACATACAAGCCATTATCCTCTGTGTAGGTGGAAAAAGTGGTTTTGCAGTACAAGGAACAGGAACAACAACAACAACAAAAAACCTCAAAGAAGAGAAGGGTTCTAAATATTTCTGTCCCATAGAAACATTAGTTTTACTCTGTGGAGTCTTGACTTCCTCTGATGAAAAGATGACATGCAGATTCATTCTCTATTAATAAAACAACTGATTGATAAGTATATTAGAAGACTAAAAGCCAAAAGGTGTTTGTTTGGTATATGGAGATTGTGTGAATTAGCAAAATAAATATAGAAATTATTCTCTCTCTCTCTCTCTCTCTGTACAATTCAAATGAAACTAACATCAGCCTAACTGTGTTTCTCCTCAGCTCCTTCAATATAGCCGTAAAAAGGAGGATACAGTATTTTCATTCCAGTTTATAATTTACCGTAGTCTGAAATCAAATTAACATTCACTGTAATTTGTTAAATTTAAACAATTAGATTCATGAGCTATATTTTGATCTTGACCTTTGCTTGTTTCGAGGAAATGATAATTAAAATTAGCCACTGATTTTGGTTTGGATGTCAAATAAAGCTGGGTTTAATTAAAAAAAGATGCAGAACTTTTCCTTGAGGTTTTATCAGAGAAGGTAGGAGAGGGCCTCTAAGCACATCAACCCAAGGCTAAACGTCTCACAGAACACAGGACTTAATGGGAAACCATCAATACAATTGCCAATTGTATGTTTTGCAAAAGAGATCCCCATCAGTCAGAGAGAGGCCAACTAATCCCTGAAGATCTTTTCTATTCTTTCTTTGAAATCTGACGTCCATGCTGAGCTGCCAAATTGGATGGCATTCTGCTAAAATCAGTAGTAAAGCAGTTTTGACAGCTATTTCATGGGCTAATTTTAATATAAACATGCACGGCTGCTTCATTTAGGTCTGGGGAAATTAGGTGTCCTCCTCTTGACATTTTAATGGGTTGAGTCAAAAGAAATCCCTGATATTGAGACTGGGTAGCTGAAAAAAGAAGGAAACAAAACCAGTTTGTAGAATTTAGTGCAGGATATAATAGTATATTAAAAGGATATTTTAGTATATTAAAAGGATATTTTTACTTCCAACAGTTTATTTAGTAACTATTCGAAGTTACAACGGCATTGAAAAAAGTGACTTATGGCCATTTGTCACCCTTATGACCGTTGCAGCATCTCCACAGTCATCTGACTTGTATTTAGATACTTGACAACTGACTCACACATTTATGACAGTTGCAGTGTCCCATAATCGTTTGATCCCCTTCTGCAACCATCTGGCAAGTAAAGTCCATGGGGAAGCCAGATTCACTTAACAACCATGTTACTAATTTAACAACTGCACTGATTCACTTAACAAAGGTGGCAAGAAAAGTCATAACACAGAACGAAACTCACTTAACAGCTTTCTCATTTTAACAACATAAATTTTGGGCTCAGTTGTAAGTTGGGGACTACCTGAATAGATTATAGCCATCTTTGAAGTTTAATTCAGGATAGAATATCAAAAGAAGAGATACATTTCCAATTGTTTTATAGAAGGAAATTCCCATTGTGAGCAGTAATTTGCATGTTATCCCAATGGGCTTTCGGGGCTGTGAGTACAATCTGAGAGCCGTTTTAGCATTCTGCCCACCAGGTTAGACAAGGCAACACAAGACTCAATAAAGGAGAATATTTGTAGCTCAGGGTTGACATGAGGGGTCCTTGGTGCTCTCTGAGCATGCTTGTTTTCTTGCAGAGGTTTCATCACCCAAACTAGGCAACATCACCAGAGCTAGCGTTGATGAGGTTACTGATGATCAGCACCAATGATGTTACCTAGCTTGGGTGACAAAACACCTGTGAGAAAACAACCAAGCTCAGAGAGCACCAGGGACCAGGGGTGGCATTCAGTAGGTTCTCACCAGTTCTGGACAACTGGTAGTGGAAATTTAGAGTAATTCGGAGAACTGGCAAACTCCACCTCTGACTGGAGATTTTACAGTATCTTTTCCCTGCCAGGCCCACCAAGCCATGCCCACAGAACCGGCAGTAAAAAAAAAAAGAAGAATCCCACCACTGCCAGGGACCGTTCATAGCACAAGGATGCCAGCATCATTCTGCCTACTGTTGTATCCAGTTGGAATTTTCTCTGCTTAGTGACCAGGCCAGTGACTGATTTACCATTAAAGGAGGTTAGTAGAGGACTTTTAATGTACAGGGATTGGTGGATTTCCCTGTCGGTGGGACAAAACTTCCAGTAGCCACTTTCTAAAAGTAGGCTGGGCCTATAGCAACATGAAGGGACATTTTACAATGTTTGATGAAAATGTAAAAAAGCTAAAAATTTTGGACACAAATACATATGTTAATCTGAAAGATTTTCACGGCTAAAGCACTACTGAAACCAGAGACTTCCTTTGGAACTTGTTATTTATATGTTGGAAGAAACTTTTTTATTATTATCTTTGATTTTTGTTGCAAGTCTTTGTTCATTCTGAGCCTTTGCTTTCCTGACTTCGTCTTTTCAGATTCTGGCTAGGCTGATATCCTGCCTTAGTTGTATGTCCTTCTTTCCATTCTTTTGTATTTGTCCTTTTTGTCTTTCAATTTGTCATAGAGATCTTTGTGCAACCATGCTGGTTTCTTCTTGGATTTCTTGTTTTTCTTTCTCAGTGGTAGTGGAACTCAGTGGAACCGTTGTGGTTTGCTGGCAGCAGGTGCAGATGGCTGAGGTGTCAGAGAGCGAGGACTCGGATGAGGGTCCTGTGTGTGATGCAGGGATGGGGCCAGGACTATCAGAGTAGAGTGCTGCCCTCGGAGCTTGTGGAGGCTGGCAGCAGTGATGCAGAGGACCGAGGAGCCTGTGCCCAGTGTGCGTGCACGCAGGGCTGCTCAAGGAAAAGAGCAGCTGCAGCAGCATGGGCAACTTGGGAGTAAGGCTGCAAGGTGATGGCCCTCCCTTAAGGGATAAAAGCCAGCCCTCAGAGGTGGGATTCTTTGCAGGAAGCAAAGAAGTTCTTGTACTTCAAGTCTTGTGGAAGTTCGGACTATCCTGGTTTGTGTTTGGAGACTTTTGGTTTTGATTATCTCCTTGCAATTTAATCTAGTGTTCTTGGCAGCCTTGCACAACCTTGGCAAGGCTTGTTCTTATCTGGGACAATTAGTTTTTAATAGCGTTTTACTGTGAATGAACGGAATTCACAGAGAAGCATTAAAAAAGTTTTGCTTTTATTTCTGTTTGGTGTTTGCTTGCTTTGAACCAGGCTTGGGTCAGAACAGGAACTAATGGACAGCAACCAGAAGAAAGTCATGGGACTTTTTATATGTGATAACTGCAGCGAGACTACTTTATGTTTAAAAGTGGAAAGGTGTGACACTACTCACAATGGAGGAATGGCTGGTGAAGGTGATGAGATGGAGATTGCACAAATTATCTTTTTTGATTAGTGTATATATATATATATATATATATATATATATATATATATATATATATGTTTGATTGAAACTTCTTATAAACTTTTTTCATGAAAGAAACAAGTGCATTCATAATTTGTGTTTTTAATTATTGGAAAAAACTGGATAACAGAAAAAAATGAGCTCTTTTTTGGTAATCATACAGTAAGATTTAATGTTGTAATTTTGCTTATATTTGCTTCAGAAGAAATTGGAAATTTCTTCTTTTTTGTATTGTTCTCTGTCGTCTGCAATTGCCCCCCCCCCTTTTAAGTTTGGGTTAGTTTTTATGTACTTTGTGAATTTTAATAAAAATAAGATAACAAAAGATATATACACTAAAGTAAGCTGAGCCTGGGGGAGGAACTACATTTTGACACTGGGTATAGGACAACTCACTGTCTCCCCAAAAAGAAAAGCCCTCATCTATAGAATTTGGGTTGGTGATATAACAGTACAACTATCTCACCTGTACTGAATTGTCCCACACGGCAAGTTGCCCAGAGCAAGTCATCTTTCAGCTACTTACTCAGGGTGAATTACCTGGGGTGAGCCAGCCAGAATGAGCTGGTCAGGATGAGCTAGCAGAAGTGGGCCAACAGTAAGGACTCAGTAGCCAAAAGCCAGAGTGACCCAGGGGTGGCAAGCTGACCCATGGGCAGCAATTGTCCCATTCTGCTTGACTTTAGAGGGGCAGGATTATCCATCTTGCCAACCTTTAAATATAAGCATTTTAGCCATTTTGATGTGATCTCCTGTTCCAAAACAGATGACCTAAAAAAGAGGTTGGTGTAGCCCCCTTTGGTTTACAAGGACCACCTTCTCTATTAATGGAAGGTAGATTTGGACCACTCTGAGTAGTTGACCAGGCCCTCTGTAAATCAGATTGTCAAATTGTCAATTCACAGTAGAAATGAATGCCCCAACATGCAATACACTCTGATGGACACTGTAGTGGCCATAAGCCCTCTCTAACTTATGGAGTCAGGACTATTATTACATGGATTTGACAAGCAAGCAGCTCGTTTTACAGAGGCCCTGGTCTAGTCATGGGAAAAGCCAGATGCTACAAAGAGAAGGGAAAAAATTTGTAGTAGCTGCAAGAGGCCTCCATACATGCGACACACAAGTTGTGCATATAGCAGGACTAGCATTGGGAGAAGATAAAATGCTAGCATCTCACTGGATCAGAAAAAAGCAAAATCAGTTAGCCCTAGTTGTGGACTAGGAATAAAGGGATACATTATCCAGATGTGTCCTTCAATAACAGTTAGGGAGGCATCCTTTGGCTGAAATTTTGGAACATTGTGAATGAGCCCTGCGCTTACATTATTTTTATTCCTTATTGTAGTTACTGTAAAGCAAGTGCAGCTATGAATATCCGAAATCACGTTCTTTACAACACACAAGGGCTTCAATCCCATGCACCTTATCAATTAATAAAAAAGCAGCAATTAAACATAATGTTTCCCATTTGTTTTTGCCTTTTGGGGAAGTCACATCAGTAA